ACCCAGTTAAGAATTACTGCATCTGAGCAGACAACAGTGACGTGGTAAAAATTTGTCTAAGGACAAGAAAAGCGAATGCAATATGGAAATATGTTTGCTCGTAGTGACTTAAGCGTTTATTACAAGTATGCAGAGTCGTAGACCATTGCACTGCGATGACTCTTCCCAAAAAATTGCCATGACTTTCAGAATAATAGAGTGCAGAGTGCAGACTCCAGTGCATTAGCAAGTTAGAGCAAATTCCCAGTATTGCTCAGACCCTTCACGCTAGACGTCCACGCCTTTGAATAAATAATGACAACGGACCATGAAGTTCGTCCAGGAAAAGAAGCAGGCTTTGTCTATAAAATATTCACACGTCTGCGGCTCCGGATTGTAATTATCCAGAGTTCGGGTTAAGAAATTACAGTGATCAAGTGAAAACATTTCGATGACGAAAAACTTATTACAGCGAATAGGAGCCGAGGAAACGTAAAAAAATTGTCTACTGTGTTAGGTTAGGCATCATAGGCGTCGCCAGAGATTTTGGGTTGGGGGGGCAAAATCAACTTTTGTGTTAAATCTTGCCTTCCTCCAGTCGTTACTCATTCATTTTACATATCATTCAACGCGCAATGGTGCGAGGAATACGATGGTGACAAGGTTTTCCTTGTAGCTATGACTTGCCATTTTTTTACAGAAAATTTAATTTTTTTAAATTTTTGAACAAAAAACGACCGGTAGAATCACAATGGCTGCGCTTGCCGACGCACTCTGGAGAGCCCCTGTGCAGACGCTCGTCGCTCATGATCATAAAAAGGTTAAACGCTCAGCTTAAGCGAATCACCTTGCTGAAACTTTCATTCACGCATGCATGCAGAGGTTCTACGTAAAATGCATAGGGCTTATCCCAGCCGCCGATTGAAGCTAAGTAGGGCTTTCAGCGGAGAGTGAATGTCGGAAGTGTGAATCGGAAGTAATTCATCTTTGCTCCAGTGAGAGGAGGTGTAGTGTGAACAAAAAGTTTCTCGTTTTTCGTGTGTAGGGAAGCGCTGCAAACGCGAAGAAAAGACGTTTAACGGAACCAAAATTTCGCACGGCATAGCGGCAAGGGATCCTTTCATTAGCGTCGCCACGGGGGGGGGGGGCAAGCGGGGCAGCCTGCCCCCCCAACCTCGGACCGGGCACCCCCTGAGATCGATACAGATCCGATGAGATTTTGGAGTCGGGAAAAAATGGTGGTACCTTTCTGAGAATGCCTGTGAGGTCAGACTCGTTCAAGCCAGAGTCGGAGTCGCAGTCGCCAACATCGTCAAAACACCGACTCCAGACTCGGAAGTGTCAATACTGTGATTCATTTCATGTTCCTCGTTGTTTTTTTATTACATTTTATAGCTGATTTTCATAAGTTTTGAAGTGCTGATACAAAATTTGCGTTCAAAGCGTGACACTGAATCTTCAGGCCTTCCTCAACTCTCGTCAAATGTCTGCGACAGACTCAAGTACCGTTCAAGTGCCACAGGGCTCATGACTGCTTGCTTTTCACACAGGCTCCGAAGGAGCTCCACTGAGCTCTAAGAAGCCTTCAGAGGGCCCAAACCGGCCTCTGAGAGTCCCACTGGTGTTCATATTCTCTGAGGGCCCATACAGGAATCTTTGAGGACCTTACACATGCGTAGACCTCTGAAGGGCCACACGGATCTTTGAGGATACTTTCAAATATTTGAGAACCTTAGGCCTCTGATAGCTCAGCCGAGCTTTTGAGGCGACAGATTTTGCTGAGCCTAAGCCTGCAGTTTAGGGGTCACGACTCGGGTGTGCATCTGAGGGTCCCAGCACATGTTTCTTATGTCCCTATGTAGGGTCCTTAGGGATTCGACACAGACCTCCAGGGTTCACACTGCTATTTGAGGGCTCCCTGCTCACCCTGGGCCTGGTCTCTTAGCGCCCGCCGCCGGCGCCGCCCACACTGGCTTCTGAGGGTCCCACCTTGGGCTCGGAAAGCCCTAAAGCACCACATATGTACACGTAACTATTTGGGGTGACCAGCGCCGATTTTCAGGATCCTAAGCAGGCTTCTGAGAGCCCACACTGACCCTGAGTGGCCTAAAATGGCCTGGAAGTCCCAAGCCTATCGCTAAAGGATCCCTTGCCGCTATGCCGTGCGAAATTTTGTTTCCGTTAAACGTCTTTTCTTCGCGTTTGCAGCGCTTCCCTACACACGAAAAACGAGAAACTTTTTGTTCACACTACACCTCCTCTCACTGGAGCAAAGATGAATTACTTCCGATTCACACTTCCGACATTCACTCTCCGCTGAAAGCCCTACTTAGCTTCAATCGGCGGCTGGGATAAGCCCTATGCATTTTACGTAGAACCTCTGCATGCATGCGTGAATGAAAGTTGCAGCAAGGTGATTCGCTTAAGCTGAGCGTTTAACCTTTTTATGATCATGAGCGACGAGCGTCTGCACAGGGGCTCTCCAGAGTGCGTCGGCAAGCGCAGCCATTGTGATTCTACCGGTCGTTTTTTGTTCAAAAATTTAAAAAAAAAAATAAATTTTCTGTAAAAAAATGGCAAGTCATAGCTACAAGGAAAACCTTGTCACCATCGTATTCCTCGCACCATTGCGCGTTGAATGATATGTAAAATGAATGAGTAACGACTGGAGGAAGGCAAGATTTAACACAAAAGTTGATTTTGCCCCCCCAACCGAAAATCTCTGGCGACGCCTATGGATCCTTTAGCGATAGGCTTGGGACTTCCAGGCCATTTTAGGCCACTCAGGGTCAGTGTGGGCTCTCAGAAGCCTGCTTAGGATCCTGAAAATCGGCGCTGGTCACCCCAAATAGTTACGTGTACATATGTGGTGCTTTAGGGCTTTCCGAGCCCAAGGTGGGACCCTCAGAAGCCAGTGTGGGCGGCGCCGGTGGCGGGCGCTAAGAGACCAGGCCCAGGGTGAGCAGGGAGCCCTCAAATAGCAGTATGAACCCTGGAGGTCTGTGTCGAATCCCTAAGGACCCTACATAGGGACATAAGAAACATGTGCTGGGACCCTCAGAGGCACACCCGAGTCGTGACCCCTAAACTGCAGGCTTAGGCTCAGCAAAATCTGTCGCCTCAAAAGCTCGGCTGAGCTATCAGAGGCCTAAGGTTCTCAAATATTTGAAAGTATCCTCAAAGATCCGTGTGGCCCTTCAGAGGTCTACGCATGTGTAAGGTCCTCAAAGATTCCTGTATGGGCCCTCAGAGAATATGAACACCAGTGGGACTCTCAGAGGCCGGTTTGGGCCCTCTGAAGGCTTCTTAGAGCTCAGTGGAGCTCCTTCGGAGCCTGTGTGAAAAGCAAGCAGTCATGAGCCCTGTGGCACTTGAACGGTACTTGAGTCTGTCGCAGACATTTGACGAGAGTTGAGGAAGGCCCGAAGATTCAGTGTCACGCTTTGAACGCAAATTTTGTATCAGCACTTCAAAACTTATGAAAATCAGCTATAAAATGTAATAAAAAACCAACGAGGAACATGAAATGAATCACAGTATTGACACTTCCGAGTCTGGAGTCGGTGTTTTGACGATGTTGGCGACTGCGACTCCGACTCTGGCTTGAACGAGTCTGACCTCACAGGCATTCTCAGAAAGGTACCCCCATTTTTTTCCCGACTCCAAAATCTCATCGGATCTGTATCGATCTCAGGGGGTGCCCGGTCCGAGGTTGGGGGGGGGGGAGGCTGCGCCGCTTGCCCCCCCGTGGCGACGCTAATGTTAGGCATATAATGCAAGACTCAACAAAACGATGCCTCTTCGAAAATAAATAAGAACAGTAGCACCAACCCAAGAGATTGATAAAGGCAAGCGATGTGTTTCTTCCCCGCGCATAACAAAAACCCGGAACTGTCTTACGAAATATGATATCAGATGTCTGCAGGGACGAAGTTTTTGACAGTGCAATCCAACTTGGATTATCTGTTGCCACTCATCATGTATTACGTAACACAAACTGTGACAAATGATGGTTTTTATCTCGAATATGAACAGCGGCCGGCATGCTTTGTTTTGTGGTTGTCAAGCGCGCGAGTCAATGACGAGGAAAATGGTGATTTGAGAGCATTTCTATTGTATAAAGTGTACTAGACCGCCTTGGCAAACGACTGGTCTTTCGGTAAATGTGAATCCGATGCATCCCAATGCTTTCAAACTAGTGTCATTCGAGAGACAAAAGCAGACGATTGCTATTCAAATAAGTAGAAGAGCCAGGCGTTAGGCGTTTTTCAAAGCGGGGACAATGGCCTCAAAGGTAGAGAGCTGTTCTCTAATGCAACCCTCGACGACTAGGAAAACTACAGTCGTTTAAAAAAGTCAGAGTACGTTCACCTTACTTGATCTGTAAAATATTTAAGAACTCGCAAATGAAGAACGGCAACTATATTGCAAGAGATCCGACGCTAAAGGTTGATGAATCAAAGCTGCTAATTGAGCCTTGCCGTTGAAGAGGGCTGATGCTTCTTCCAGTAGAATTTTCTTAGACCGGATGTCGGACTTTTTAGTCGGTACCTAATTTGATGCAACTTTTCGTACTAAGTCGTACAGCATTGGTTAATATTCTAAAAGAAATAATGACTGGCTACATTACAAATGAAATAAACATCATGCGTCATTATAAACTCGGAACCCTTATCTACCAGAAATATCGAACATTCCTAATGATTTTTTTATTTTTATTTTATCGTATCCAGACTTCAAGAGGCCATCGGCGAACAATTAAAAGGTAATAATAAAGTACAGTAAACGATCAGGCACGCCTGTCTAACACCTTCAACGTCAAACTAAACAACTGGATTCATTATGTAACTGGCGTTAACTTTCGCCCGCGTCATTTTGAGACGTTCATTCGCAGCTCTGACAGGCTTTCATCGACTTTATTTTAGCATAAGAAATTACCCCCACAAAACGAGCGAAAAATGTATTCGCTATCGATATAAAACACCTTTATCAATCACAAAAAGTAGAGTTTTTCAGCTTACCTGTCGAGTTTCCGTCCTCTGAGAGGCGTTGTGAAGGACCCGGTGCTGACCCCACTGAAACGACAGAGTAAGGCGGTCAGTAAATGAGATGGTGCAAAGACCTGTAAATAAATAAAGCGGCGAAAAAAAATGTTTCCTGTATATTACTATAGGGCATTTTTAGAGATTTGGAACGTTTTGTACGTATTTATGTAATCTTTTTAGTGGATATACTGGTTTCCACGTCAATTCTGTTGAAATTTTCACGTCATGTCACGGATAGTTAATTTGTCACGTTATGTCACATAATATTACCATTTTGTTCAGTGTATATAAAGATATATCAAGTATCTACAAGAGAATACGTATCTGTATGGCTAAGCCAATTTAGATACGCAAAATAAGATGAGGTCAGAGGTGACTAATTGTTATTTCGAAAGAAGGAGTGAGTGAGCGAAAAAAGCAAACAAAAGGAAAATAGCACCGTAAGAAATTGTCGCTAGCACGAATGTGGGATTCAACAAATGGAAACCAAGTAACAAAACATACCTTTTATAACAGTCTCATCCCCCATCTCCCAACCAATAAACCAAACATGCATTTCATATTACAGCCCCATCCCACATCCTAGTCTCCCTCGCCACACTCACTCTGTCGCGCCATTGCTGTCGCGAAGTTGACCCTCTGCTGATGTTGCTGCATCAGTTGCTGACCATGCAGCTGACCCTGAACCGCAGGCGAGGCTGCATGTCCATCAACTGCATACCTCTCCAACTCCGCTACGTGATCCAGAGTGTCGCCCAGACTCATATCATCATCATCGGTAAGATCGACCTTTTCAATCTTCACGGCGCTAGTACCCGACCCACAGTTTGGTCCTTGTTGACCCTGAGAGGCGTCATGATCCTGCTGGATACCATGTTGCTGAGGATATCCTTCTTGAGTTCCCTCATCATGCTGTTCCTGCTCGCCATCACCATAATCCTGTATGGCGTCATCATATTTCTGCTCAAGTTGATCGTCATGTACAGCATCTTTAGAGGACTCATGAGGAGCTGACTGAGATCTTTGTACTGCTGGAGCCTGCACCGCAGAAGATGCAGAAGCCCCTGGCGAAGGAAGAGACGCCGATCGCGGTGAAGCTGACGGTGTCGTAACTCCGCTTGGTGATGGTGGAGGAAGGGATGATTCAGAACAGACAATCGGTTCGGATACACGACGCCGTTTAGCGGGTGGACTAGCTGGTGTCTTCTGCTGCTGTTGGTGATGCGACTGATGTTGATGTTGATGATGATGTTGCTGTGACGGCGGTCTTGGTGGTGGAGGTGGAGGGAGAGATGGCTCCGGGGGACGTCTTGCTGCTGGCGATGGTGGCGCCATCTGTCGTCCAGAGGGCGCCGTAGGTCGAGGAGTGGTGGTGTGCCGGGGTGGAGGTGGCCCCTGAAATCAGGCACGTGGTTAGAGAACAGCTTGGGGTTTCAGTGTTTTCTGCAACAAAACAAGCAAACAAACAACAAACAAACAAAACCTTGAGCGCATTTTTAATGCTACGAATTTCAAGATGCAACACAGTCAGGGACGGCATTCGGTACCGTTGGACAGTGGACGGCAACAGTAGCGAGACGTTAGACGGTAACGGTAGTTCGACAGTGGACAATAACAAAATTCAGACAATAGACGGGAGTCAGACAACAGTTAGACAATAGACGGTAGCTAGACAGCAACAATAGTAGATGGTAGACGACAGTTAGACAGTAACTTAGACAGTACACGATAAGGGCAGCTAACAACGATGGTAAGGCTTGGTAGTCAACATCGTGTAGAGTGCAGCTTTCACTCACGAACTCAAATGAAAATGAAATATGAAAATGAATCCTATCACGGCCTATCACGGCTCTTTAATGATCTCCACTAAATGAATGCAACAATGGCCTTTTAAGTTGATCTCTGTGGCCATCTGTCTATGGAGCGACCAATATGAAAGTTGGGTGAATTTAGCGGGGTTACATGACTATCAGCAAGCAAATGTGTATCAGGAATGGATTTAGGTGGAGAATTGCGCTGGACCATGAGTGCTCGAGCGCTCCCAATTCCATGCCGGTTTGGCTTTGGAGCCGAGACAGACGATGCGGGTCAAGGTCACCGCTGGGGTAACGGTGGATTGGCTGCGCCCGAGCACCCGTAACGCGGCACAATTCTCCATCTATGGATTTTCCTATTCGCTCAGCATTGTGATAGGCGTTCGTAATAGCATTTACTCTGCTCATGTACATATCCCCGGTAAAATGAAAATGAAAAAAAAACAGTAACGTCTTATCGAAATCACATGACAATATCTATTACTCTTATGATACCTCACTGCAAAAATGCTTGCCTCACTCTTCCTCCCCTACTCTCTCCCCTCCTTCCCACTCTCACAACTCTCACCTTATCCTCCTCGCCGCTCAGTCCCCGGATCTGCAGCATCTCCGCCGTCTTGATGAAGCTGGCCAGCTGGCTCTGTGACACGTTCACCTTGCCCTTGTACATGAACTCCACTATTGCAGTGAGATCTGCGGCTGAGGTGTCTTTTAGGAACACTGCCAGTTGCTGGCATGGCAGACCCTGTGAGATAAGGGTGGACATGTTAGATAGATTAGGGCATGACAGATTCTGAAGCATAAGGTAATGCAGGCCTGGAAGACAGAGAATAAAATGAAAGGCTCTGAGTGAGATCAGTGCAAGGTATTGAAGGTCCTTTGGACAGGACAGGAGGTGGATATGTTGAATGAGGCAGCTACTCAGCATTGAGGGATGTCAGGATATAGGTAGTGGGTCTTCAGGAGAGAATGAGATGTTTGGAGTAATCTGAGAGATGGTTTTGAGTTTAAGCAGAGAGGAGGGAGATTTTAGGATGGATTAATAGTCTTTGGGAAAGGTTAGAAGTAGTGAGGCTGACTATATGATACAGGTCCTGAGGAGAAGAGTAAGGAAGGGAGGGAGGGAGGGAGAGTGAGAGAGCAAAAGAGTGAGAGAAAAAAGAGAAGCAAGTTTAGTTTAGTTTAGTTTATTGACATATCAACAACAGGCTGACACCCAATTACTGTGTAGGGCAGTGCCAGTGGGACTATCAGAGTAATTTGGGTCTTGGGGAACAGTGAAGGGAGGGTGGTCTAGGTAAGACATGTCTTGTTGAGAAGGAGAAGTGTCAGAATGGCTTGGTAATGTGGGTTATAGGGGTAAGGGATGGGTGAAGTTGATTGGGTGAGGCAAGTTATCAGCAAAAAAGAAATACAAGCAGAAGACAAGAGTGTCCAAAAATAAGGTTAACTGAACAACAGCAACTTCATTATATGGCAAAAATGAGCTATGCCATCACTGAAGATTTAAAATCATGAAGAGGTAATCAAAAGCAAAGGTTCCAGTAAAATGAATGCATACAGAGCTGCAGAGTTGCCCTATAGCATCAATTGTCACAATTATTTATCAATTCATTCACGCAAGGTATGTAGGTAAAGAAAAGAAAAAAGCATGTGAATAAGATTACATGCATTCCATGCCCACCTTGAACAGCTCCCTGAAGTAAGGGCTGCAGGCCGAGAGCATCATCCTGTGGGCTCGCACCCGCTGTCCCTCGCAGCAGAGCGTGACATCTACCAGTTCTGAGTCCACCCTCAGGTCGTCAAACAAGGAGGTGACGCTGCCTTGGAAGCCATCCCACTTCAAGCAGAACTTCTGTGAATCCATGGTCTGAAAGTTTAATGGTTTAGGTCAGCAGGTTTTGTAGCTTATAAATGTTGGAAATTTATGACAGATCATAGAAATAAAACATTTAATTCTAAGAGCTACAGCATTTAAATACAAAATACTAGACAAGGGTTTCAAGCTTCAGAACGAGAAGCCCGACTCTATATCCATAAACACCCTTCTAATAAAAGCTCAGCTTCACAGTTCAAGTTCTGCAAGTTCAGTGACTTTATACCAGGCAAAGTACTTCATAGAATACCAGCTAAAACACTAATTTATTTATTTATTGCGTTTGAATTTGGTTTGAGAATAAACCAATCAACGCACGCGTCCACGCACCGCGTATTCCCAAGGGACATGTTATTCGGAGGTTTGGTTTCGTCGTCATGCAGAAAGCAGCGTTAACATATGACGTCATAAGATCTTAGGCATAACTTATCATCGAAATCACAAAAATTGCGGCATATTATAGGTACATACCTATACAGAGATTGCAAAATGTTTTACGTCTTCTCCTATTAGTTCCTCGTAACCTTCAAACTCGTAACCCCTTTTACATCTTACCCATTCCTTGCATCTTTTCTTCCGCCTCCTCTCATATTCTTTTAACTACACTATCCCTGTTCCTGCCCGGTATCCCTATCCAAGCCTTCACGTTCCCTCCCTACATACCCAGCTCCCCGAAGAAACTGTTTGAAGAACAGGTGCACAGTGCAATGCACCATTCATATGCCTACTCTGAAATGCTGACCTACTTTCGGAGTAGCTCAGGATATTACAATATTACATCGAATTCGAATCGGGTACCTATGTCTACTCAGACAAATGCATGTACCACCAAGTCTTTATTGGAGATTTAACGGGTCCTTTGCACCATTTAACGCCTGACTCTTTAGTGCCCTGCGCCTGTTGATGCCGACCAACATGCCTACTTGCACATATTTTGGCCGTATTTCACAAGCAAAGTAGTGATATTTTACAAAGGTAGAGCCTCAGCCGACACTAGGCATATGTAGGCATTATACCAGCATATAACTGGAGTGAGCAGACCTCACACTTCACAGCCATGCATTATTGCTCCACCTGCCTTAAAACAGAATGAGAATACGCTTGACATGACAAACGAACACTAGAACACCCATCGCAAGTAACGATTCGAATAACGTAAGTAACGATGGCACCCGACACGTTACGACTGTGTTACGACGCGCTGTTACGATCGTCAAGCCTTTTCCCCTGTCTGCTGTGAGTGTTGCGGTGCATTCTCAACAACCGAGGGTGGCTGTACATTCCACCGCAAATATCACATTTTACCTGCTGGGCGTCAGTGTGTGAGGATATGTGCACGGCCAGTTGGCGTTTGGATGTGAACGATCGCTGGCACGTACCACAGTTGAACGGTTTTGGAAGCACGGGGTGTGCCAGCCCAACATGCCGATTTAGCTTTGCACGGCTAGTGAACACCTTGTCGCAGCTTTGACACTTGGTGGGTACTTCTTCAGAGTGTCTACGAAAGCGATGTCTATCTAACTTACTCTGGCAAACGAACGACTCATTGCATTCTTCACATCGGAAGAGTCCTGTGTGACATTTCAGGTGAATCTTGAGCAGTTTTGTATGAGAAAAGGTTTTGTCACAAAATTCACACGACACACGCACTGCGGCTGAATGAGAAGCCTCATGTACACGCAAATAGCACTTGCTAGAAAAGAACTTGCCACATACCCCGCACTGATACACCTGAGCAGGTGATTTTCGTTCTAGCGAGTGATTCTGTCGTATGTGTCTGTTTCGACTGCTCACTTGCGTGAATGTCTGTCCACAGAACTCGCAACTGAACGGTCGCTTTCCAGTGTGAGTGCGCAGGTGTTTTTCCAGCCAGCTTCGGCATTTGAACACTTTGCTACAGGTGGGACAGCGAAGACGAGTGTCCCCCTCCCCAGAACGTTCATCAATGTCATCGGGGTCTCCCGCTGCATTATCCGGAGCCACAGAGGCTGCCTCGGGTGAACGCGACTCCACTTTGATGACTACAGATGACGATTCAGGTTTTAAGTCTTGGCCTGCTGCAGCGAGATGAGCCATGTGAGGTCTCTGACTGTAAAGTTTTCCAATATGTTCAGCAGCTTGGCTCTCAGCTGGGTGCTGCTCACCAGGAGGATACAGATAAGGTCCATCCTCAGTCACCCGGAGAGGGTCTTCAGACTCTTCCTTCTTCAGAGCTTGAACCAGGTCTGGGTCGATGGCTAGAGGATCACCTAGAAAGAAGGCAAAGGCTTATATGACCAGTGGCACATGTTTTATAACCCTCTTGGCAGAACACTTAACAAAGACTAATAAAACTAGTGGCTTTTACTTATGGATAGGATAGGCATGTAATTCACTACGTCTCCCACTTCAACTCAGAACTATAGGGTGCGTCAAAAGTTTTGATATACATTACGAATCGTCCCTTCCTTTCAGTAAAAGTAATGCAATAGATTTGTTACACCAGTCAATATATTCTCCATGAAGCTGAGCACAGCGTAAGACACCAGCAGGTATGCTAGGCACGAAGTTTTGGAGATGCTAAGGGCTGCTGTTTGCTCACGTGCTCTTGACCGCCTTTTCGAGCTGTCCTGGGTCGCTGGGAGGTGTTGTCTGGTGAAGCTCCTCCTGCACAATTCCTCAGAGCAATTCGATTGGATTAAGCTCAGGGTTGTTCTCTAGCCTTGGATCATTCACCCAGATATTGGAAAGCTGCTCCTGGCCTATAGATGGCCTTGGCTCTTGGCACCACCTCTAAGATCAGGCAGACTAATGAGAAGGAGCATTGTCTTCCATGAAAATGCTGTCCGACCTGTGTGGCACCATGCAACGATGAACAACGGAGCCCATGGTGGCCGTCCTGTTGATGGCAGGGGGGACAGCTATTCTTCAGAATACTCTCTACATAGCAGTCAGCATCGATCACCATTTTCAGCGGAATCGCGTGCAGCTAGCCCAGGCCCTGATAAGAAATCATGCGCTATGCCATCAAATGAAGTTAAAATTCAAAGTTAGAGTCTTTTGGGACCTTTGCCAGTTCTCACTATCAAGTGTTTGGTTGGTAAAACAGGTCAACTAGAGACTCTTTGCTAATGATGACCCGTTTCTTCTCAGTTCCACCCTTCCACCATCCTGTTTTTTTTTTTTTTGCAAAATTTATGGATCTGAAATCATGGATTTTGCTCCAATTTTGGTCTTAGATGAGCCTTATGGCCTATGGGCCTTCACAGTACAAGTTTGTCCTTCCAGTATCGACAGACAAATGTCCCAGACCCCAGATGATCCTTTTGAGTTTGCCTTTTAGACAGCTTTTTCGCACAGTGTTTGCAACTTCCAGGTGCTTTCTCCATGACGATCATGGTGACAGTTCAAATGCAGAAGGCCCACCCTGATTGGGGTCTTCCTGTGACACCCCCTGTCTCAGTAAACTGCTTCCACCAGCACTTGATAGTGAGAAGAGAGAACTGGTACCCCTAAGTGTCAGGCAACGACCCTCTGTGAGTTGCCACCATACGGCATGCTAATTGCAGGACTACGCACCTCTAAACTGAAAAATTTGACCCTGATGTCTGAGTCATGGTTCATGCGCCAATCACTGGGTAAGCGATGACCCAGACTAGTCACCCTCTGAGTCAAAATCAGATGCTCAGCTAACCAACACCTCAGGGAAGAATGCAGGAAGCAAGGACGTTCTCAGCAATATGATATTTAAGAGCAATGAGCATATTGGAAATATTCCAAGTTATATCGGATGAACGGAAGGTACCTATCAAAACCTTTGACGCACAATAGGAGTTGAGTTAAAGCTTCATGTTAGCCATAAGAATTATTGACCCCAATTACCGTAAGTAAACACTGCTTAAACTTATCACAATTGAAAGTAGAATCGTTAGTCTTGTACAATGTACGCAGAGGAAAGAAAAAAATTAATACCATCCCAGTAAACATGCCGACGTCGGCCCGACGTCGGCCGACGTCGGGGTGACGTCGGCAACTCGGCATCGGCATGCCGACGTCGGCCCGACGTCGGTCCAACCTCGGCACGACGTCGGCTGGATGTCGGATATGCCCGCATGTACCGACGTCCAGCCGAGGTCCAGCCGACGTCGGGCCGACGTTGGACCGAGATCAATTGCTGAGGTCCAGCCGACGTCGGGCCGACGTCGGGGCGACGTCGGACCGACATCGGCCGCTGTTTCTACCGTTAAAATAATATAAAATACATGTTTCATGTTTCATAAAGAGCTTCTGTATTCAAAATATCCTCAGGAAACTCAAATCTTCCTCCACGCCGCAACCCCCTGATCCGGACTGGACGGGAAACTTTATCCCATTTGGGATTGCCCGTAAGCCGAGCTCGCCCGTAGCCGGGTGCGGTGAGTGCTTGGGGGCTGCTCGGCCTATCCTTTGGTCAGGCTCAGCCCCGGTAACTCACCAGGGCCGGGCCCAGTTCATAGGGGAAAGCCCTATAGAAAGGCCAGTCGGCAAGTGTCACTAATTGCCAAAGTGCCACTTATCAAAGGGACACTTTGGGAAACGTTGGTGCAGGTGTGTAAGAGTGGCTATATGAATCCATTGTGGGGTCGCCCTTTCCAATAAGTGTCACGTAACAGCAATGGGACCAGGGACTCTATATGAACTGGACCCAGGGTGCTCGCCAAGAAGACCAATGTCTCCATGCTATCATCCTTCCGGCTCTGAAATGGTCTTGTCAGACCAAAAGGGCATAACCCAACAAAACAAACTAAATTCCATATCTGCCTGCGTGGTGTAGTGGTTAGCGCAATAGCCTCCCGTTCAAATGACACGGGGTTCGAATCCCGTCGCCGGCTGATGCTTTTGGCGTAAACATGCCGACGTCGGCGACTGGGTGGCTCGAATCCCGCCGCCGGTTGATATTTTTGGCGCGTTGTCCCAATAAACATGCCGACGTCGGCCCCGTCGGTCCAACGACGAACGATCTCGTCAACCTCGGCAAACGACCTCGGCCCGACGTCGGCTCGACGTCGGCTGGACTTCGGCTGGACGTCGGAACATGCGGGCATATCCGACGTCCAGCCGATGTCGGGCCGAGGTTGAACCGACGTTGGGCCGACATCGGGCCGAGCCTCGGCCCGACGTCGGGCCGACGTCGGCATGTTTACTGGGATTTAATGTGAATAAATACAATAAATTGCATTTTGTCAAATAAATAGTACAAAAATCCAAGAATTCGAAAGTGATTGTTGGAATGAATACCTAATACCTAAGGTACCCACTACCCGTACATGCATTCTCATTAAAATTATATGAAACTGCACCCATGCGTTCTTGCCAC